TTATAGCAGCAATCCCCAAATACTTGCTGTATCCTAAACACTGCAGTGTCACACTTTCATACCTTTGCACAAGCTGTTTCTCCTTCCAGGGATGCCCTCCACTTCCCTGAGCTCTCCCATGGGCTGGCAAACTCCAATTCATCCTTCAAAACTGAATCCAGGTGTCACTTCCTCTAGGAAACCTTTTTTTCATCATATTTGCCCACCTTGTTAGAGTTAATCCTTCTCAAATGTGTTCCTTCAGCACTTTATACTTAATTCACCTTTTTCACACTGTTTCTTTAAAAATATAGCTGACTTCCTTACTATATTATGAATTCTTTGAGGAAGGGTAAAATCTAGGACTTAACTCTATATGCTATGTGCCTAAGATTGAACACAATAAAAGTTTGTTGAACTATATTGAATTGATTTAACCTATATTATAAAGTGGATTAGGAATGAAAAATATATATAACATAGCAGTACTCCCTTATCTAAAGTTTCGCTTTCCAGGGTTTCTGTTACAGTCAACCACGGTCTCAAATATTCAATGGAAATTTCCAGAAATAAACAATTCATAAGTTTTAAATTGCGTGCTGTTCCGAGCAAATTATAAAATCTCACTCCCATCTCGTTCTGTCTGGCCCAGGACATGAGTCAATCATCCCTTTGTCTATCACGTCCACGCTGTACATGCTACCTGCCTGTTAGTCACTTAGTAGTTGTCTCGATTGTCAGACCAACTGTTGCAGTATCACAGTGCTTGTGTTCAAGTAACCCTTATTTTACTTAACAATGCTACATTCACATAACTTTTATTATGGTATACTGTTAAAATTGTTATATTTTATTATTAGTTATTGTTCATCTCTTACCGTGCCTAACTTATAAGTTAAATTTTATCCGAGGTATGTATATATAGGAAAAACCATAGCATATATAGGGTTTAGTACTATAAAGGGTTTTAGGCATCTACTAGGGGTCCTGGAATATATGTTCCTCAGATGAGGGGGGACTACAGTATCTAATTTCCAGGAAATAAGACAAATTGAATTTTGCCACTGATTATAAAATGATCACATTTGTACAGGAGTTTTGTAAATTTGACTTATTCTTTACCATCATTAACTATATGACAATGTTATTGCTAAAATATATTTCCATTTTCTAAATACTGAAAAGAATATCATCTAAGTATTTGATAGTTTTGCCACCACTTTCATTCCCAATGGGTGTTTACAGGAAAAAATATAAAGGCAGGTAAAACTGAAAAAACATTTAACTGGAAAGAAAAAAAAAAAAAACACTGTTGTGTACAGAGAGAGCTGTGGGAGGTGGAGGAACAATAAGTTTATAAAAGGTAGGTTATGCTCATCCAAACCTGGATGATCATCACAGTTACTTGGAGAGCTTTATCAAACGTGGATTTCTGGGCCTCACTCTTAGGGATTCCAGGGAAGATCTTGGTGAAGCCCTGGAAACGGGCTTTCTAAAATAATCCTGTAGGTCATTCCAATGGGCAGCCGAACTTGGAAAGCACTAGGCTAAGAGAAACCACTGATATATCATAAATCTGGTGGATTCACAGTGTGCAGCTCTATTTGAAAGTTACAGATGATACTAACAAAAGAGAAAATTTGCAAATAGTTCAAAACAGTAAAGCCACAAAGAGTATTTTGTTTAATCTAGCCTAAAAATTGACACATTTAGTTACTAGTTATAAAAAGATAGTCCGTGCAGCATTATGATACACCAGTTTTCACAAAAACCCAAGCTTTAATTTGGGAGTATGTGCAGGAGAGACATGCTGTTATATGTGGGTCGATGACTGCCCAGGATATTCGTTTATGGAGCCACATCAGTCATGTACCAGTCTACACGAAGTGGCACAGCTGCCCATTTGGTGAACACAATAGTGTCGCTTACAAAGACCACAAAGAAAATCTTTTAAAGTAAATGTCCCAAGTGCAGTGGCAGAACACTAAATTTGGTTTTCTTAAAAATAACAACATTTATTTTTAGGCAATTGCTTGATAAAGTGGTACTTTTGTTTGGCAGTAGAATCTTAGCACCAAGGCCATTCTGATTTTTAAAACAAAAATACGCCACTTTGGTAGCTATGGCAAAGAAAAATTTTGGAAAATTTAACAAGTTGTATCTCCTAAGTTGTTAGCTGCAAATTTTTCTAACAACCGATCCATTTAAAGTAGTTTTGAGAGGAAAAAAAAATTTACACGTCCTCCCAGATCTCTCTACTGTATGCTAGTACTCTCTTTTCTCCTATGCCCTGAGATTTATATTATTTGTGATCTGGTATCTGGGTCAGTAGCACTAGTTTAAATTCTAAGTAAAACAAAAATTGCAGAGTTGTGACTCCTGTCAATTAATGGGAGTGGAAGCAGGGAGGGTCCACAGAACAGAAAGGGGCTTCTCTTTATCCAACAGAAGCCTCTGTATTCCAAAGATTATTCTTGTGAAGTCCTTAGATTGTTTATCTAGCTGAGAAGAGATAAAGTTCTTAATGGGCAGTTCTTTGAAAAACATTGTGTTGTTAGCCAAACCCCAGTAAGCTGGAAGTTTAGGGGTAACATAATGGTGGGGAGGAGAGGATGACTAGTTTCAGAGAACAAGAGCTACATCGTCCCAATCCTCCCAATGCATCCACCAGCTCATACGCTCACACACATTCACACTAGTTCTGAGATAAATAATTGCTGATCTCTGCTCTTCGGATATTCCAATCTTTTTTTCAATTATATTAGGTCATTTCTACACTCTTCTAATACTAATTGCAAGTATCGGCATATTATATTTGGTGAACAGGCTTTATACAGGGCAGCCTACTATGGTTAGATAATGAAAGGTATTTTATTCCACATCCTGAATTTTTTCCATCACACCAGAGTTGCTGTATCTAGGGCTAAGTGTATGCATAAATTGGGTGCAGCTGTATGACGAATTCTAAACTTTCAGTCACACACATTAACCTTCAAAATACACAAATATTCCAAACAGTTAAGGATTTTGAGGGGTTTAATAAAAATTTGGGGAAAAGTTTTTTCTTGATTTTTGAAATTAGAATTTCTTTTGCGTATAAAAACAAGTCAGTTCTGGAGACCACTGATGTTTCTCTTTCATTTTTTAAAAATTGTTTTCATCGTTTCTCTTCTTTTAAATAAGACTTTTTAAAAAATATGTTAAGCTTTTTTGATGAAAATTTTTCTATAATGTAATGCCTTCCAAAACTCATACTGAATATAACTAAATTTTATATTGATTATGCAGTCATCATTATAAATATAACATATAATGGTAAACCTTCACATAGCTACTTATACCAAAACTCAATAGTTCTAAACTATAATTTTATAATTTTTATACCTTTTTTTTTTTTTTTAGTCCTTTAGTATTTTGTCTGCATCCTTCTCAGGCTGTCACTTTTTGGGACTATCATAGACTTGCCTTGGCAGTTGCCTTCTACTTTTAGCTTGGGAAATCAGATTATCAAACTTGTTAAGATTATTTCTAGAGTAAAAGTAATTTTGTGTCATCCCTTTTGGTTACTAGATGATGATATTTTTGGTTTAATATTTTCTGTTATATTTTGGATACTTTAAATTACCAAAAAAAGAAATTCTAGATAAGTGAGATATTAATTTATGGGATATTACAAATTACTGATGAAATTACATATGAAATATAGAGAAGAGTAAGGAAACGAGTGGTAGTTAGGCTGAGCAAAAGCCTAGAGGAACTTTTCAAAATTATGTGTGTTAAGTTGTATGAACAGATTTCAAAGTATTTCCCTTATCTTTACCACATGTGTGAAAGTATATAGACACACTTTTCAGGATGTGAATACATACACAGAGGATTTCAATAACATCAATGCAAGTTTGAATATTAGTAAAACATTTACAAATATAGACAGAAATGTAATCATATAGCCTCATTTTGGTAAAACCTCACAGGAAGGTAAAAGTGAATCAATATGTTCACATTGCTTGCATCATAAATTAAAGTAGATATTCTAAGTAGCCTACTTGTCCCCGGTGCTTAAAAAAAGTGTGCAGAGTTTAAGACGTTATTGGAAATTTTAAAATACGACTAAAGTGAAAAGATTTTGGAGGCAAGTTAGAGACAGAGATTATCTTATCAAATGTTACATGACAGATGGAGAGGGTGAGGAGTAACTGCAGGAGCCCGGGACCTGTCAGTTTGAAGACACTCTTATGAAAAACTCACATGAGTCAGTAGAGAATATGGCAAATATCTGACTCCTTAAGTGCCATGCTACAATATTCTAGTATTAAAATTCTCGTAATGAGATATTTTCATTATTTAAATATGTAGTTACATCTTTAATACAATATACAATTAAGGTAATACCTCTAGCATTTGGAGCCTTATCATGTAGCACAAAGTAAATAATGCCCTGAAAGAGTAAGCCTCAAGGAACACTTGGGGATGTTTTTAAGCACGTTGATCACCTCCTCTGTGCCAGGTACAAGCACTTGAGATGATGATGATGAAAGGATGAAAGTGGGGAGAGGATTGGTTGGCTTGAGCTGCCAGTCATACCTTTTACCTACTCCCTCTGGTGACAAGGGTGTTTGTGAGTTCCCTGGGCCTGGCTCAAGGTGCAGCTTGTGAATTTACAATAGAGACCTGTTATGGACTGAATGTTTGTGTCCGCCCACCCCCCCTCAGAATTCTGAATTTACTCAAATCCCAGGAATTATTTTCTAAGAATCTAAGATGAAGATATTGTGTGTGTGTTTGCAATAAGTGCAAAATTCACCTTGAAACATCTTTAGTTGCAGTGATTATATAAATAATTCTCAAAAAAAGATCTGACTAAAACTTTTGAGTCAGTAGCCCTATTCCACTATTACCAAAGATAAAATAGTATCAGTGAAATGTGTTTAGAATTAAATAGAATCATTTTTAAATAAATGATAGTTAATTTAATAGTTGCTGAAACCCTCTATATAAAACATATTTACAGATACAATGAGTTATAATTGATTTATTTCTAATTTTTTATTGAATGATTTATAACTGATTCACATTACAAAAGAATGTTCACTTGTACTGAATATCACCTATTTTGAACACCATTTACAAAATCATTTTATCCTAATCTGATCAAATATTCCTTCGCATACTAGTGAAGGATATAACTCTCCATTCTTAAAAAATAATAATAATAACAAGTAAAGTAGATTTGAACTCCGGCAGAATCGGTGACTTGGGTGTATTATGAGAGAAGAGAATGCGTGCCTAGAAACCGCCAGGAAGAACAGACCAGAAATTAGGCCTGAAGTTTCTGAATTTTATGGTTGACTCAACTACAAATCACTAAAACCCTTTATACCTAAGGGTCTGAACTAACATCCTTTTAGAGCCATTCAGTAAATACCTGTTCATTCAGGAAATAAGTAGGGGGTGCCCCAGAGCAGCCACTGGATTCTCTCCATCTGCTTAGGCTGCCATGATGGTTAGAGTGAGTGTACAGCCTTGGTCCCTAATGAAAACAATCAGAACTTTCTTTTAAAAATTATATTCAGAATTATATTCATTTTTAGGAAAGAACATACCTAAAATTACTAATCAGAGAATTCATCAAAATAATATGCCTCTGGCCCTATTAAAAAAGCCAAACTTTATCAAGGAGAAAAAAAGGCTCTTAAAAAAGATTAGAATTCCTTGTCCTAAAAAGTTAACATCTCATACATAGGATAATGTGTAGCATAAAACGATGTGTCTTTCAATGCATGATCATTTATAACTTTTGAACTGTCTGCCCTATGTATCCATGAAAAGTCCGTATTTTGAATATAGTTAAAAACTTCAGTTCTTAAAATGTCTCAACTTCTCTATTTTCAAACTAGATTTATTCCATAGAACAATTTCTTTCATTTTCACATAATACACACTACAGCTGATACTTTTTAAAGCAGTAAAATAGTTAATAGCTTTGTTTATAAATTTTGCCATTCCTTGTAATACTTTAAAAAAAAAAAATGTGTTTTTTTTTTAAGTTTCTGAGACCCAACAGAAAACACAATGTAAACACTGAGGGCATGAACCGAATGGGTCCTTCTCAGAATAGAGCCCTGTGTTGTAAATTTTTGTCTCTGCCTTGATTCTAATTATGTAACTGTCTACCTCTGTATATGCAATTTCACATTTGATATGCAACTGGCATGCCATTAGATTCTTCTTAGAGTAGGACCCTGAGAATAAGCCCATCAAGAAATCACACATTACTTATAGTACCAGCTTGAAGTTTTAAAGAGTATCTAATTTTTAAGGCAAAAACAAAAATTTTCCCACAAATGAAACTTACCACCATGTGAAGAATATATACTTAGCATTGAAATACCCATCTAGTTTCAATATCTTTACCTAAACTTTTTAAAATGTATGAAAATCTTCTATTTTTGAAAAAACTAAATTTATAAAAATGTTGAAATGCTATTGATAGGGTTCAAGTCCAGGCACCTGTGAAGTGATCTTGCTACAATAATCAGAACTGGTTTCCTCTGCTATTTAGATCATCCACGGCCTGGTTTCCGGGTTTCTGTTATCCAGAAGTACAGCGGGCATTATCTCCGTGAATCCAGAGGCAAATCTGGGCGTATTTGAGGGGGGTGATGCGGACAGCCACATTGTAGTCCTTCTGAACACCGTGGACATCCACCCACTGGTGGCCTGAATAGACAGCAATGATTTTGCGCTTCCAATTCTTTTTGGCTGGCTCTTTCAGACGCAGATAAATCCCGGAGCCAGTGGAGCCCGACTCAGCATCGCAGTATTGATAGAGGAGATCATTGGATTCGTCGGACACGCTACAAAACCGGTAGACCAACTGATCTGCCCTATCACGATCAAATCCTGAAAAGTGGATCATTCCACCTGGCAGCTTTTTGATGGTCGGACTGATGCCTAGTTCCATATATTTCTTCTTGTGAGCACGCTTCAGCTCTAGGAGAGCATAGTCATAGTCCAGGGCGGCGTCCCCACTCCCTCCTGTAGCCCAGCCTTTGGGAATGTGGGTATTCTTGACCCGGGTCCACTGGAAAGAGGGCCTCCCCTCAGCTACTCTCTGACCCCTCGCAGATTCCTTTCTTTTTCTTCCAGCCTTGGCTCTTGCCTTCAGATTCTCTTTACCATCCTCAGTCTGGTCACCACCATTTGCTTCTCTCCTGTTCTTCTTAGATCCCCTACGTTTCTTGCCACCTCCTTTATTCCTCATCTTCAACAACCCCACTCTAAGCTTTTTACTCCCTTTGATATAGTCTTTTCCGTCATGAACACAGTGGGCAGCAGTTAGGACGTGGTTGGGTGAAACGAGAACACCACTGCAGCCGGTGGAAAGCTTCACGGCTGTACTGAAAGGGAAATTGGTTAAGAATCTTTTGTCCAAGATGCTGAACCTACTGTCTGTGCCATACACCTGTCTCTTTCTCCTAACAGATGCTCCTTTTGTGGTGATATTTGGAGTTGGCTGAAGAACCAAACCTTGAACTTTCACTCTGGTCAAGGTCCGGGTGCCATTCTCAAAGACAGTCTCATATGAAAGAGAATCTTCCAGTTCAGAAAGGCTGGGAGCTGGGAGTTCCTTCTGACATTCGATGCCACACACTCTCTTTAACGTCATCTTAGCATCTGCCTCAAATGTGGGGCTGGTGAGATGGAAAGTCCTTTCACTGATGACCCGGGGTATTTTTCTCAAGTGCCACGTAAAATCCTGTTCCACCTCTGATCCATCAATGGTGGTCCATCCAAGCGTGAAAAACATCAACCAAAATAGCATATTTTCCATTTTGTCCTTAAACATAGGAAAAAGAGAGAGAGAGAGAGAAAGTGCCACGTAAAATCCTGTTCCACCTCTGATCCATCAATGGTGGTCCATCTCCAAGCGTGAAACATAAACCAAAATAGCATATTTTCCATTTTGTCCTTAAACATAGGAAAAAGAGAGAGAGAGAGAGAGAAGCTTTACAATGTTTTCTCTTTAAATGATACTTCTCCATTTCATTTTAGGCCTAGGGTCCTAAATGTACCTTTGCCACTACTAGGAACTCTTATTTTCACTGTACTTAGGTTTCATTGAGATTAAACACCCTGCTAAGTAGGCTCATACAGATTTCCAAAATCAGTAAACTGTTTTTCACCGAACCTTCCCACTACCAGCCCTAACCCACATCCCCCGACCTCCACTTGCCATCTCCACCTCTACCTCCCCAGACAGCCCAATGCATGGGAGAGAAAGACAGGATGGCTCACTGGGGTCCTTTGTTGCCTAAGTCACACTCTCTTCCTTCCTGGGTCTCATACAACCTTATTTCTGGATGATTTAGACATAAAGATAGCAGCAGATGGCCTGCACTTTCCCTGCACTTTGCTCCTTAAAAGCAGGAATCATAAATTTCTCCTCTCTCGAGTGTAAATGCCTAGCACAGAGCTCAAAAAAGTTCATTAGAATACAGTGAATTTCCCTGAACCATGATTTGCAGACCAAGCTGATTGATGGTGTAACTGAAATCACTGGATAATATTCTAAAGGAAGTAAAGGTTTTTAAAATAAATAGATGAATTCATCTGCTATTGACGTGCTTTGATTTTTACAAGCAGAGCCCCTTATCATAAAAAGAAAATATGCACAGGCCATTTTATGCTAAAGTAAGAAAAATGTGCCCTGCACTTTTTTTTTTAAAGAGTGGAACTACCATCTAAACAAAGCAACATACAAAAATTCTTCATAGTGAGATTTTACTGTATGTTAAAATTAGTTGTAAGAATTTATGGAGGCTGGGCTATGATTCTGAATTAGCCACATGGGAAAACATGATCATGATTAATATACTCCCTCTCATCATAGGTCTTGTCATCTAAGAGCCAGTGCTTTTAAGTATTTCTAAAGTTGTCAGTACTTGATAAGTCATATAATACCTCTTCTACTATTAACATCTTCTCTCACGCTTTTCCTGTTTCTCTAGGCTCACTGTATGTAAAGTTTCTCAGTTGTGAGGGTGGAGGTAGTGGTAGCACTCTTTGGAGCAGCAATTTTGAAATCGTAAGCTATGCTCCAAGTCATTTTAAACTAATAACTAACACATCTAGGCTTAGCAAATGACTTGCACTTTGTATAAAGTAGAGGCAAATTCAAGAGTAGATTATTCCTACAATATTTTCACTCTCGATGCTTTCTGAAAAAAATTTTTTTTTTTTTTTGGCATAGAAAACAAAGCTAATGAAGAATGTTAGGACTTGTCCTCAACCCAGGGTACACCCACAGAATCCTGGGCATTGGCATGAACAACAGAAGTTGTCTCTGATGTGGAGTCGAATACAGGCATCTCTTGATACAACTAATTCATTTTGCCATATACGAGCCCAGAATTTTATTAACAAACTAATAATATTCTTTTGATATAACAAAGACATATTCCTTAACCTCTTGATTTTTTAAACATAATATATTCACCAAAACATGACAATTAATTTGAATCACCATACATTTGAATATATTAAACAAATTTACAGTAACTTTTATTGGCATTAGCAAGATTACTGCAATTTCCATTTTTTATCTGCTCACACTTGAATGCTGAATAATGGTGATGCTGGTTAATATTAGACTGTACTTTTTGTTAAGTAGCTTGTAACTTGTTTTATTTTGGGGACAGGGCATTCTTCCACAGAGAGTGATGGATATTGTACGAAAATTCAATAAGGAATATACTTTGGAAAAAAATCCACACTTATGTCACAGTATTTTCTAATCATTACCATGGAAAATTTGACTTTATACAAAGCAGTAATTATATTGCTAATGCTTTTGTTGAACCATTTAGCATTTTCTTTTGTTATCTCCTATGCAATTTTTACAATGAATATCTCCAATTTTATTTAATTGGATTGGAGTAAAAAAAAAAAAAGGTAACTGAGTAATTCTACGGAGACCTTGAAATCCTATGTTTAACCAGTTTCCAAAAAAAAAAAAAACTTATGTCTCTGCCTAAAAAAAAAGCTAAAATCAGAGAGTTATATCCTTCCTCTTAGCTTATCGACAGACCAAAATCGATGATTAAAAAGAGTCATATGTTTTATCTACTTGATTCTTAACAAAATTTCAATCAAAGAAATTTTTTGGTCTGGTAAAAAAATTTTTTTGAATCAGTTTTTCATTCAACCTGTTATGATAACAGCTGTATATTGTGTACTTAATGTGTGATTACATCAAAGACTAAAAGTCAAATATCTTCACTGAGAAACATAAAATTACTTTGTACATAAACACTTGATACTAATGATCTGTAGAGTAATAAACATGTGAAAGTCATTGCTAGGCAAAATAGAGCATATCTAAATCATGATAGTGTGATATTATTTCCCCCAGTTAGGTCTGTTTTGTTTTGTTTTGTTTTGTTTCAGTACTTAGTCTTGCAACTTTAGTCTTCCAACTTTTTAGTTAGCAGGGGATTAGTAAGGCAGAATGCAAATATAAATAACTGACAAAATGATCTTTTACTATACAAATCATTGAACCAAAAATATAGAAGTTCTCCTACTTTTTACCAAATAAAACATGCACCTTGTGCCATAATTCTGTAGGCAGACTTGAGAAAGCCCATATAATGGTTAGTTTTATGGGTCAATGTGAATAGGCCACGGGGTGCCCAGATATTTGGTCAAACATTATCCTGATGCAAGAGTGTTTATGGATGAGATTAACATTTGAATTGGTAGACTGAGTAAAGCAGGTTTCTCTCTAATGTGGGTGGGCCTCATTCAATCAGTTGAAGACCTGAATAAAACAAAAAGGCTAACCCTCCTGTAACAAAAACTCCTCCTACCTGACTGCTTTGAGCTGGGACAATGGTTTTTGCCTGCCTTTGGACTCAAAATCAAACACAAACAACTCAAAAGACTGTTATTAGTTTGTTAATATAATTCTGTACTTGTATATGGCAAAATATAAACTCTGTCATATCAAAGGATGTCCAGCTGTAGTCCCCAGACCATAACTGTCAGCATCACTTGGGAAACTGTTTAAAATGCTAATTTAAAGGCCCACACTTACCCTGCAAAACCCTCTGGGGGTGGGTGAGGGGTTTTCCAGCTATCTATGTTTTAACCAGCCCCCAGGCAATTCTGATACTCATTACAATTTGAGAACTATGGCAGCAGCCAAGGCCCTGGTATAGCAGCAGCTTAAGCCGCCACATCCCAGAAGGCAGTCTTTCCAGGGATCACTGTTTAACTGGGTTTCAAAAGATATCTGCTTCATGTGTGTGTACAAAACATATTTATTCTGAACTTTGCTCTTTTGCTTTGTTAGCAACTGCTAATATTGAATGGTTCAGTCATTTAAGGAAGAAAAATAAGTCAAAGTCAGTGGATTTCAATGTAGTATATCCAGTGTTTGATGCCACAAATCGTGCAATGGCATCAGTTTGCCAGCCTTGTCTGGTCCCCTTTGAAGGAGCTCTGTTACAGTGCCCCACAAGAATAAAACCATGCCCACATCTATCCTTGGGCATGGGGAGGGCAGAGCCTTGTAATATGACCTCAGAATCACAGTAATAAGAGGACATGGATTTAGTTAGCCTGTCTAATTTGGCCTGTAATTTAACATTGGACAAAAATTTAAGGACACTTCCTCTTGGAAAATCTAAGTTTGTCTGTGGTAAAATGTCAATGTAATGCAAATGACAGTTCTTACTAATAGAGAAATCCATGGTTCTGTAGAAACATCTACATATGCCCATCATCCAAAAAGCACTAAGTCATTGATCTAAAGAGTCACGATCCCAATTGGTGGGGCAGCTATAATATTTTGATGTTCCTTGTCTTCCCTCATCCTCCTCCTTTTTCCTATCTTTCATTATAATTGTGACCTTCACTGTCACTTTCCAAATGGCTTGGACTTGGGGCTTTAAATTCTAATTTTGGTTAACGAATGTGAGGTTGCAGTCATGGCTCTCCACCATGAGTCAGTGTACACACAGCTGATTATGGGTTGGACCACGGAAACAAATGGAGTAGAAAGGAATTAGGAAGAAAGAATATCAGGATATGCAAATGAATTTTTACTGATAGAGCAAATATTATTCTGAATTCATACCTGGTCTATATTAATAGAGATGACCATACATAACTACAAAAGATGACTATTTTTTGCTTGCTTATGCTTTCTCAGAAATGTGATTGCTGACAGTATAAAATATTTAAGTATCTATACCAACGTAGTGGTTACAAGTGCAGACCAAGAAGCGAGAAAATTTGAGCTAAGTCTCATCTTTACCACTTATTAGGCATACGAATTGGGGCAATTCATTAAGTTCACCTATGTTTCAGTTTCCTCATGTGCAAAGTGGGGATAATAGTGATCTCTACCTCATAACATAATTGTGGGGATTAAATTAGACAATATATGCAAAGAATCACCACTGAGGCCAAAGCATGGCAAGTGTCAATAACAGACTCTTTTATCATTATTGTTCTACCTTAATGGGTAAATTAATATCGCTTTAGAATAATTTATTACATAAGCCAAAGTTACAGTACTTTGTTTCCTAAAAAGTCAATTTTATGGTCAAATATTTTCATTTCAACATAGTTTCCAACATACTCTCAAACTGCCTTTTTTTGTTTGTTTTGTTCAAGGACAGCTTCATTTTAGAGCCTTCCCAAATGACTTTTTTTTTTTCCTAATTATTCCTTCCTATGAATATCTGTGGCTTTGTAATATATTTTTCTCATTACATTAAACTTTAGTGTGATTAAATATTACCTAGCCACAGAACACTTGAATTGCATTTCCCATGTCTTATTTATGGCCTGGATCTATGTCAGGAATTCTGGAACTGAATCGTGGCCTCAGCTTAAAAAGAAAGTCCAAAATAATTATTCTAAGGGAGTGACTTACGGTAAAAGAAAAAACTAACTTTTTGAGAGTCTATCTAGAGTGTATAGAATATTAATGTGGCATGATATAATTATATTCATAGTTTAGCTTAGGTAGGGCTTACTATATGAAACATTTCAAATGAATTGTTTTTCTTGTATATGAAAAATGAGGCTCCTGACTTACCATTAAGGACCTACACTGAATTGCTTTTCCTCACCAGGAGATAGGTTCACACTTACTCAGGCCTTTCTTTTCACCTATTTCTTGCAATGTATTGTGAGGTAGTTGTCCAAATTCATGTGTATAGTATGCTGCCATGGAACCTAATTTTGCATTAATCCGTCAAACATTTTCAGGAGCAGAGGCTGGTGTAGATCAGGGACTGCTCAGTCAGATTGATGACCTTATAGGGCTAACTTCTACCTTAATGTATATATTAGGACACACCAATGGTTACATGATCACTTTTTACAACTTGCCTGTTCCTTTTATAGCCATCCACGATCCCAACCCCCTGCCCTCCAACATCACTGCCTACATTTAAACACGTACATAAACATGAAAACGTGCACCAGCCATCTTCTTCCCCATTTTCATCCTCTATCCGCTCAGTAAAGATTGACACACAACAGGTAGACATTGTGTCCTGGTCCAGATATTCTAAATAAGTACAGAGAGTAGCACTGGTTTAGACAGAAGGCCACAGCAGGAGAGGGGGAACATTTGTAAGGAGAATAAACAGGTGTAAAGCAAGCATTAAATGGGTTAGGTTTTGGAGAACACTTGTAGAAACTTTAATAGTCACTTTCACAAATTGGGGGCAGATGTAGAGAAGAATAGTTTTATGAAGTTCAATTCCCAAACCACTTTAGGCCTTTACCATTCAAATGCTAATCACTAACTAGAACACTGAATAGTAGCAACATTTAAATTAAAAAGTGTATGAAACTACAGCCATGAGAAAACAATGGTGTTCGTGACGTTAGGGAATATGGAGAGTAAAAACTGGGGTGTTTCAATAATTATGGGCATTTACGGGAAACCAGTTTCATTACACTCGTTACTTCTTAGCCATGTGACTTTGTGAAGGTTACTTAATTTTTCCAAAGATTATTTTCCACATTTGTTAAATAGGGATAATATTTTAAAGTATTTTTGTGAGGAACTAATACGAACTCTGTGTGTGTGTGTGTGTGTGTGTGTGTGTGTGTGTGTGAGAGAGAGAGAGAGAGAGAGAGAGAGAGAGAGAGAGAGAGCACAATGCCCAGAGCACAGTAAACATTCAACAAAGGCAGCAATTATTATTAATATCAAACCATGGGAGTCCAAACATAGGTAGATATTGATAAGAGATTTCATACATCTCTAACTACTGTGTCCCTCATTGTTTATGCCAAATAATGGCTCCCAAAGAGAGCCATATTCTAATTCCCAAAACTGAAGGAATATGTTCCTTCATGGTAAAAGAGATTGCAAATGTGACTAAGAATTCTGAGATGAGATTAGCTTGGATTATCCAGGTGAGCCCAGTATAAGCACAGGGATCCTTAGAAGAAGGAGGCAGGAGGGCCTAGAGCGAGAAGGAGCTGTGAAGATGGAGGCAGAGGTCGTGGTGATACAGGGTCACAAGCCAAGGAAGGCAAGGTGGCCTCTAGAACCTGAATAAAGGGAACAAATTCTCTCCTTGAACTTCCAGAAGGAATGCAACCCTGCTGACCCACTTTGGACTTCTGGCCTCCAGAACTATAAGTCATTAAGTTTTCAGTAATTTGTTACAGCAGCAATAGGAAATTAATAAACTTTTAAAGGTGAGAATCTAGTTTTTTAAATTGTCTGTTTTGAATGTTTCAAAAGAAAAGTTTAGGAAATGATATTAAGTGGGAAAGAATGTTTGGTTCAGACTTAAACATAAATGAAAATTTTCATTTTAAGGAAAAGTATACGGATGTGCAATTTTAGAACTAAAATCAGAAAATCATGATAAAATTTTATGGTGGTATGGTGCAGTATTATGAGAGGGAAATGAGAACTACTGGAACAGGGTAGATAAATTTGTTTATTCCCCAAATGGATACTGAGGGCTACACATCATTTCAAAGCCTCTTTCCTTGTTTAAGGATCTCTGTAATGGTTCTTCTTAGCTATTGTGTTGCACTAGAACATTTCTAAGATCAATTTCAACTTTAAAGTCCTAGATTTAAACCACAAATGAGAAAAACTTACTCATCAATGATACTCAAGCCTCAATTCCTAGCCTTCCACAATTGGAACTTGCCTGATATCCATACTTCTACCACTAGATGGCAAAGTTAGCCTGATGATCCTGCATTTAAATTGTTTACGTTCACTGAGCTGTGATATAGAATTTATTTTAAAAGCATGTGGAATTCAATAGGGGGAGAAGTCTAACTGGCTAATATACAAAATGGTTGTCACATATGGAATTTATCACATTTTGAAACCAACCTACAGGCCACAGAACCCATCTTGATGAACTGAGAACTGATAATGCTGTCTACAGCCAGACAATTTTCTGGCAGGTGGTTTTCTAAAAACCATTGTAGTGCCAACACACTTCCACTATGACCTACAGCACTGCTAAATAGTCCCCCAAATGTGCTGCAATTCATTTCAACACGAAGGAAAGTCTTCAACCTGCCAAATATCTCACATATGTTTATCAAATACTTTATAATCCATTCCTAAAAGATATGCTCTCTGCTGATTCTACGCTGAAAATAAATGGCAAGAAAGTTCATTGACAATGTGCCAATTTCTATTCAAAATATTATAGTGCTATTTTCAAGGTTAGTTTCAGGAATGGAGACAAAGTAATGTCTGCTTTCAGAATTTGGCAGTACTTGAGGGAAAGGAAGATGATAAAATTACACAGTTGATTATTTTACAGTAACCCACATCTTCTGTTTCTCATCACAATAAGAAATACCCTCCCTTTGTTTTTTAGCTATTTTTCCAAGACATGTATATTTTTAATTTATGCAATGGATATGCCGTGTGTAAATCAGATTTGGGGTGAATAGCAGTAAGGAAGACAGTCCCAAAGGACCCCTCTGCTGGCTGGCTCATGCACACACATAGGAAGTGCACAACATATGGCTCCAACTTATTTTTGTATCTTGCAAGTTGACCTCTGAAAGCAAAGAATGTCTGTAAATGTATTAGGTATGCTACTTTTCAGGCTTTAAAGCATCTTGTGAGCACAATGCTTTTCACTAATCATACATCATTTTAATCTACTTGAAGCTTTTGAAAATTTTTTAGTTAAGCAAAGTTATAAAATAATAGCTTTTGTACCACTAACTTGACTTTGCTGTTTCCTAACCTCTCATCGCAGATTTCTCATCGGCTTCAGTCTCCAAAATTCTGAGTCTGAATTTGCTTTTAAAATGCATTATACTGGCCTGGAGTGTTGGGCAGAGAAAGATAAATAATTTATTCAATAGAGAAATTTAACTCAAATTACCAATTATTTATTTTAACATGTAATGAGTACATACTATGTGTCAAGTACATAAGCTAAACAATCTCACATTTAAAAACATGCAAAAGATTCTGAAAAGCATATAGGTTTCTGAGATGTCTGGAAGAAAAGTTTGGACAGTTTAATCTCTTCTCAAACGAAAGGAACGCCTCTAATACTTCCTTTAAAAAAATAAAATTCCACATGATGCTTGGCCACTACTTTCAAGCCTAGATGTCTTATTTGGCTGGGATTTTAACATTCTTTCTTCAAATTATAAACCAGATTCTAAGTATTATTCTCCAAGCAGCAAAATATGACTTTTATAATCCTCCATAGAGAAAAATGTACTTGGGATAAAATGAGAATTTCAGAAGTGAGTAGGATTAATAAAAAGGGAGAAAAAAAAAAACACCTAGATAGGACATACAACCTCTTTTCAAATCAATGACAGTATAAAAAAGGTCAGGAATCAGGCAAGAATGTTTCCACAACTTTCAAAAACTTTTTATTATAGAAAATGTCCAAACTACACAAAAGTAAAATGAAAAGCATTTTGAAAAGTAGAGAACAAAAGTATATTCCCATGAGCCCATCACCCAGCTTCAACAATTATCAATATTTGCCAATCTTGTTTCATCTATCTCCCCCAATTGTTTGGTTTTTTGTTTGTTTGTTTTGTTTTGGCTGGAGAATTTTAAAGCAAGTCCAAGACTTTTTCATTTCATTTCACCATCTCATTTTAAAAACGTTTTCCACTGCTCTTTTTGCTGACCTGTGCAGCCAAGTTGATGAGAGAGACAGAGAGACAGAGACAGAGAAGAGACAGAATCAGAGAGAAGAGAGATTGATTGATTCTCGCTTTCATGGTAACCCTGCCAAAGAGGCTTTCAACAAGAGTAGACTTTCCAGGAATGCGTTTTACACCTTTTTCAATGTCATCTGTTAATAATCATAAAAATAAAGAGGGTCCCCTCTGGTACTCCTTCAGTAGAAAGAATTCCATTTATATTCCAATGCAAACATTCTTACTGTTAATATTAAACCGTGCAGAGGCCGGCACACAGAATTGCCTATTGGAAGAGAGGCTCGTTTCTTTGAGGACTTAAGGTGCTAAGTTTGATCGCTAGCTTTAGACCCCTTCAAAGAAGCTCTCCTCGGATGGGTTCTGCCTTTCTCAGGGAAACTTCCAAGTTTTAGGGTCTCGCCCTGTCGGAGAGGCAGGTGGGGGTGCTCCATCCTTACCTGTGAAGCTTAGTCGCCGGGGCGCTGCCCAGTTCGAATCAAAGAGCCCCCAGGCGGTCACCAACGCTGGCGAGGGAGGGAGGGCGGGGGCGCTGTTGCCACGAGCCTAGCGGGTTGCCAGAGCCGGAGGCCGCCCCGCCACCGCCGGTCACCGCCCGGCGGGCACCACCGGGAGCTCGCGGCAGAGACTGCGGAGGAGGCAAGAGCCGAGCTGCGCGCGGAGGCGGGGAGATGGGAGGGGAAAGGGGGCGATGACGCCGGGCGGACGCGGAGGGAGGCGAAGGGGAAGGAGGTGGGCCAGAGGAGAGGAGGGAGGGAGGATGAAGGAGCCGAGATGCGGGGCTGAATGGAGGATTTTACTTGGAGGTGTGGGGCACCCCAGGCAGCCTCCCACCCCAGCATCTTTATCCCCAGAGTGAATTAAGCGTTAGGAAAAAATCGTGAGTGGATTCACAGGAGACATCTGATCCTATGATCGTATGCATCCCTTAAATATCTCAAGAAGATAGTCTAAAGTGTGTGTGTTGGGGTGTGGGATGGACAAGAGTTCTTTGTGTCTCATTCCCTGGGCTCCCTGGTCAGACCCCAGCCATCTAGAGGAACTAGGGGCCCTAACCCTACCGCAGTCGCTATCAGAGACCTCGCTTCCCTGGGCGCACACCCACTGGGCAAATCTGACTTGTGCCAGCTCCTCGTGCTAAGTCCCCCGTAGCGCAAAGTTCCCGCAGGCGCCCACATGGCACCCCAGGACTAGTGACTGCGGGCTGGACGGTTAAGTCACCCTGTGACCATCCTGTGCCGCCTCCAGGGGGAGCTCGTCAGTTTGCATCTCTGTCAGGAAGGTAGTGAGATTTTTTTTTTTTTTTTTACTTTTAGCGAATATTCTTTAAGATCCTTGCCCTCCTCCGTCCACCTGAATACTAACGTCATCCTTTCTCACTCTCCTTTATTCTCTTTAGGAGAAGTAAGTGCTCCTTTGGAATGGGGACAGCATGCAGAAGGGAACTTCACTGATTCAACATCTATGAAGCTTCTTTCTACCCGGTGGCAAATCTGGGTCAAGATGCACAGATATAATGAATACAAAAACTCGATTCTGTCCCTCAAGGCAGGGAGATCAAATAAGTGCACAAGTATTTATAACACAAGATCTTAGCGCGTCCCATAACACTTGGCCCATTAGTGGGTTATTGCCTTTCTCAAGTTCCTATGTATTTTTTTTTAACAGTATGAGATCAGAACATATACATAATTTTGTTTTCTATTTTTCCACTTAGCATTTTCATTTATACACTTACGATATAATTAAATCTATTAATAATTTTTATCTGGTATAATATAATTAGTTCTGAAGCTCTCCATCACACCAATTAGAACATAAGCTTCATATAGCATCTTTGAATCACCACCCTCTACCACAGGGCCTGGCATTAATGAATGCTAGTCATGTGTGGAAATAAAAAAGTTTTCCAGTGAAATGGAGTATGAGAAAGTCATACAGAAAACCCAGAACCCAGAGTGCAAAGTCCTATCTAACACTAAATACTTGTGCCCCTGGGACTCAATATCTTCATCTGTAGATTAAGAAGCTTGAGCTGGAGGAATTCTATAGCCCGTACTTCTCAAACATTTTTGAGATTCTAGCACCACATAAATCCAGAAGGATTTAATGTGGATCCAGGTCTGATTCCTTTCAATCAGTCATCACCCCTCACAGACATAACATAAAGCTGACTTCAAGTGCTCTCTGGCCCCCTTCCTGAAGCTTTTACTCCAAGCCCTCTTTTTTCTCAGCCTTATTGACATAGAACACTGTAAATTTAAGACATACAACGTGATGATTTGATACACGGATATATTGCAAAATATTTGCCACAATAAGGTTAGTTAACTCATCCTTCACCTCACGTTATTACCATTTTGTTATTGTTATGGTGAGAACATTAAAGCTCTACTCTCATAGCAACTTTCAAGTATACAACACAGTGTTAACTATAGTCTCCATGCTGTACACTAGATTCTGGCACTTATTTATCTTATAATTGAAAGTTTGTACCTTTTGTTCAACATTTCCCTATTTCCCCAACCCTTAGCCCCTGGTAACCACCACACTACTCTTTCTACGATTTCAATGTTTTTAGATTCCACGTATAAATGAGGTCATACAATATTCATCTTTTTCTGTCTGATTTATTTCACTTACCGTAATGCCCTCAAGATCCATCCATATTGTTCCTGATTGGAGGATTTCCTTTTTTATGACTGAATAATATTTCATTTTATATATTTTTTCACATTTTCTTTATCCATTTATCTGTTAATGACCATTTAGGTTGTTTCTATGACTTGGCTATTGTGAGTAATGCGGCAATGAACATGGGTGTGCAGGTGTCTCTTCAAAGTAGTCATTTCATCTTCTTCAGGTATATACCCAGAAGTAGAGTTGCTGGATCAGATGGTAATTCTATTTTTTAGTTTTTTGAAGGATTATATACTGTTTTCGATAATGGCTGTACCAATTTACATTCTCACTAAGAGTACACCAGGGTTTCCCTTTCTCCACATCTTTATCAGCGTTTGTGGTTTATCACTTGTGGTTTTGATAATAGCCATTTTAATAGGTGTGAGATGATAGCTCATTGTGGTTTTGATTTGCATTTTCCTAATGATTACTGATTGAGTATCTTTTCATGTACTCGTTGGACATTTGTATGTCTTATTTGGAAAAATGTCTATTCAAGTCCTCAGCCCATTTATTAATTGTTTTTTGTTTTGTTGTTGTTTTGCTTTTGAATTGTATGAGTCATATATTTTGGATATTAACTCATTATCAGATAGATGGCTTGCAAATATTTTCTCCCATTGCAAAGGTTGCCTTTTCATTTTGTTAATTGTTTCTTTTACTGTACAGAAACTTTTCAGTTTGATGTAGTCCCACTTATTTGTTTTTGCTTTTGTTGCTTGTGCTTTTGACGTTAAATTAAAAAAAAAAATCATTGCCAAGACCAATGCCAAGTAACTTTTTTGCTATGTTTTTTTCTAGGAGTTTTATTGTTGCAGGTCTTAAATCCTTAATGCATTTTGAGTTAATTTTTGTGAGTGGTATAAGATAGGGGTACAATTTTATTATTGTGCGTGTGGATATCCACTTTTACCAGCACCATTTGTTGAAGAGACTATCCTTTTCCCATTAAGTATTTCTGGCTTTTTCATCAAATATTTGTTCATCATATATGAGTGGGTTTATTTCTGTGCTGTTAGGAGCTCTTGCTCTATTGGGTTATATCAAGTTTCTTACTCCTTCCAGAGATGGGACCAAAATCTTAGGGTCACTCTCCCCTTCTGTTGTCTCTGCCACAGTGCCTGACCCATACCTTCCAGAGTCACAGACACATCTAATATTCAAATGGCAGCCCTGCTTGAGAGATATCTAAAGCTTTAATCTGCTTCACTTGTATTTTTGCCTTCTCAAAGGTGGCTTGCTACTCTGACCCCAGTCCCATACATGCCCTTTCCTTACCAGCAGGTAAAAAAGAAAGAGGCACTGTGCCAGCTGAGGAATATCCTCTAAAACCCCAAAATCCCTAAAAAGGCTTGCGTCTCCCTTACATTCGTAGGGCTTGGGTAGATTTGCATCTTATCAAACACAGCTTCTGGGAAAATGTGGGCTTTTCCGACCAAACAACTCCAAAAAACCTTATAACAGGGCCTGGGCCTTGAATGTTTTGTGGGTTTACCATTCAACTTTTCCTTCCTTGGCAGATGTGCCAGTGAAGACTGCAGAGTGTCTTGAAGCAAAGGCAAGTCTTCACATGTTAACATTATGTCATCAATGCAATGTGCCTGTTCTGGGCCAGGTCTCAGGCTACCATCCCATGACATATTGTGGAGCTGTGCAGGTAGCTTGGGGAAGCACTCAAAAGGATTACTATTGTCCCTCCCACACGAAGGCAAATTTGCCTTAGTAATCAGAAACCTGTACTTGTCGGTCTTTCATTGACTCTCCTTGAAGATGAAGCACCTTGGCAAGAACACGTTTGCAAATGCATCAGAGTAAAATAATAACTGTCTGCAAAAGATAAAAGACTTAAAAATGGCCATGGTTAAGGATCTGGTGAGAGTCCACATACGCACACAAAATGATGCAATTGACTTAGTTATCCATTCCACTATTTGTTAGCTTGACCACACATGAAATTCTTTTCTCAAGATTTCTTTCCCACAAACTTTCTGCAACTTTCATATACCTTTCAGCTTTTGTCCTATCTTTTCCTTTTTTATTTTGAAACAATGATTTTACTTTCGGATAAAATTACTTTTTTTTCCCTTTACCAAAAAATCCCCCCAAACAAACAAAAACTATGTACTTTATATTGTTCCTTATCCAAAAACAAAAAAAAAACAAAAATAAAAACAAAAAACCACATTCTATTTTCCTTTCCCTTTATAAAAATTCACCTCCTTTTTTTCATATCTTCTTTTACAGAAAATATACATCCTCCTTTCCATATACAGTCATTTTCTTTCATCCTTATTATTTTCTTGTTTGTAAAAAACTTTAGCTCTTTTACAAATAAGTTTTGGTTGCAGCAGTCTTATTTTAAAAAGGCCTCTTTTTTTTTTTCTTCAGTCTCTATGGGCAAAGTTTTGGTTAACTCCTGGGTTTTTTACATTTCAAAAACATGATAAGATTTACAAATTTCAGAGACAAAAAGAATGCCAGTTTTTTCCTAGGAATTTTGGAATATATTTCTCTATTATCAGAAGTCTAAGGTAATTGCTGTTTAAAACTTACCTTAGTGTTGGGAGACTGACTGCAGGCGCACTCCATTCATTTCATCCTAGATGACCATAACATCTTCCCCTTTGTTCTCACTTTTCTGGGGATTCTACCTCTTAGCATCCCAATCAGGCTTTGTCACAGCAGCTCTGGGACCTTAATCCACAGCAGCACACTGAGGTCTCTAACTTATTATCCTGCTCTCTCACCTTGTCTGTCAACCCTGAAGAAGCTAGCAGAGTAGTTGACCACTGCAAGTCCTCTAATCTGTTTTTCTTTCAACTCTCTAACTTGAGTTCCAGACCCGAGTTGGGCATTGGTGGCCAGCCGAACTGCCTACAGTAGAGGCCAGCCCACTGTGGCGACCATTTGTTTCTTTCTCTTTTTTGCTACAGTGTGCTATGCAAATTTCCCCAAATGAGCAGCCAGCATTTTAAGGGTGTCCTT